GTACGTGACTGACAAAGTAGACCGGGAGCTGACAGCCGTCTCTTTCAGCAAGGAGAACAGCGCTTAACGCATGATCAGAGACAGTCAGGTACATGTAGAGTACTTCTTTGGGCAAAGGGCTGACCAGCCTCGGCAAGGAATGCAAGTGAACTTTCAATCTCTGGAAGGCCGCCTCAGCATCCGGCCCCCATTCAAACCTTGCCTTTTTCTTAATTGCCTGGAAAAAGTATAGGCATTTGTCGCCTGATTGGCTTAGAAATCTTCCCAAGGCCGCCAGACAACCTGTTAACTTCTGAACCTCTCGGATGGTACGAGGCGACTGCATGTCGATGACCGCCTGCACCTTCTCAGGATTCGCCTTTATTCCTCTCTGATTGATAAGGAATCCGAGAAATTTCCCAGACTCAACTCCAAAGAAACATTTCCTGGGATTGAGCATGACATGGTGCCGCCTGAGTGTGGCGAAAGTTTCTCGGAGGTCCGACAGATGATCTTTCTGAAGTTTAGACTTGACAATCATATCATCAATACATGCCTCGACATTTCTCCCAATCTGATCAAAGAACACAGTGTTTATCATTCGTTGGAAAGTGGTCGGGGCATTCTTAAGACCAAACGGCATGACCGTGTAACAGTATAACCCCTGATCAGTGACGAAGGCCGTCTTCTCCTGATCTTTCTTCCATAAAGGAATTTGATGGAAACCATAGTAGGCGTCCATAAAGCTCATCAAAGCATGGCCGGCTGTTGAGTCGACCAGGTTATCAATTTTAGGCAGAGGGTAACTGTCTTTGGGGCACGCCTTGTTTAAGTCTGTGTAGTCTACACACATTCACCAGGTGCCATTCGGCTTTTTAATAAGCACCACATTTGCAACCCAGTCTGGGAAGTAACATTGCCGAATGAACCCTGCATCAAGTAATTTTTTAACTTCGGCGGCTGCCGCCTGACTTCTTTCTTCGCCATGGTTCCGCTTCTTCTGCCGTACCGGCTTCTTTTTCGGATCCACGGCCAGTTTATGTACCGCCAGATCAAGACTAATGTCTGGCATTTCATGGACTTCGAATGCAAAGATGTCCTTGTATTCTTTCAATAGTTTGTGAAAGTCGTCACCCAGGTCCCTTAGAGCAGTCGTCCCAACCTTGATTGTTCTGTCAGGACGCGAGTCATCTAAGATCAGGTCCGTATGCTCACCAGCTGGCTGACGGCGGAATTCATCCGACCGCTCCTCTGCCAATGATTGCTATTTTCTGTCTTTTCTTGCGGCCCCTGTCTGGGATGCCTTTCTCTTCTTGCCGCCTGCTTCTTGAACAGGCGCACTCTCCTTGACATTGTCAAGGTCTACTTTTCCACCGCTCGACATAGTGGCCATAACAGTGGGCTTGACATCCGAGAGATAGCACTCTCGGGCCATCCTCTGATCTCCCCTTAGGGACCCGACTGTTTCATTATCCCTCTCAAACTTGAGCAACATAAGAGATGGGATTATAACAGCCTTGGAATTATTCAAGGTTGGTCGTCCCAGAATCATGTTGTAGGCCGAGAGTTCTTCTACTACCAGGAACCGGACTACCATGTGTCGTCCTTCTCCTTTTTTGCCCAGGCGGATGGGTAAATCCACTCGTCCCACTGGGTGGACGACTCCTCCTCCAAACCCTACTAAAGGGTGGGATGCCGGATGTATGCAATCAGTCTGATATTTTAGTTTCGACAGACATTTGCTACTGATGAGATCTGAGGAGCTTTCGGTATCTATGAGGATTCGGTCAACTCTCTTGTTGGCCGCTTTACATTCAATAACGATAGGGTCGTCATGCGGCCCTCTTACCCCTCCTAGATCTTCTTCAGTGATGACAATCTCAGGAAATGAATATTTGGAGGGTCGTTCTTGGTGAACGGAATTTACATCTAACCGTCTGATATTGTCTTTGTTGCCCCTAATAGTGGGGCCGCCTCCTGAGAAGCCGCCTGCAATGGTGTAGACGACTGCATCATCTGTATCGGAGCTGTCGGCCTGTTGATTCTTTTTGGTCGACTTCTTTTTCGAGGAAGTGTTCCCCGTAGATTTCTTGACATAAGTGTCAAGGTCACCTTGCTCAGCCAGGCGGTCCAGATACCACATGAGAGTGATGCATTCATTGGTGTGATGACCAACATCTTCATGATAATCACAGAATTTTTCTTGGTTCCGATTGTTTGCAGAACCCTTCATGGGGACCGGCTTCTCAATTGAGATCCGTCCCTTGATTTCCTTTAGGATAAATTGGCTATCCTTGTTAAACACATACTTTGGGGAGTATGGTTTGAATTCTTTTTTCTTCTTCTGGGACGGCTGTTTAGAGGAATCAGTTGCCCAGACCTCTTTTCTCTTCTCTTTTGTCGGACCTTTTCCCGTCTGACTGTTTTACCGTACTACAAAGATCAGTCGCCTGTATATAGGCTTCCGCTTCAATCAAGGCCTCTTGAAGAGTCGCCACCCTCTTTCGGACCAAATCAAATTTGAAGGTCGACCCGTCTTTGAGACCTCTGAAAAAGTCAGTATAGGCTACTTCATCCGGTAACCCTTGAATCTGTATTCTCATCAGGTTAAATCGCCTGATGTAAGAACGAAGCCCCTCCTCGCCCTGCTGAATTGTTCCTAAATCAAGGGTCGTCTTCTTCGCAGGGATGTTCATGGCGAAGTTGGAGGTGAATAAGTAAGCAAGCGTCTTGAAGTTATTTACACAACCAGTCGGCAGGTTGTCGAACCATTGTTGTGCGATTCCTTTGAGAGTCGCTGGGAAACACCTGCACCAAGTGGGATCATCCAACCCTTGAAGGTACATCAGGTTGGTGAATGCCATCAGATGGTCTTCTGGGTTAGTAGTGCCGTCATAGGCGCCTACTAATACATTTTTCACTTTGGCCGGCTGAGCGGCTTCAGTAATTTCCTTGGAGAAGGCCGATGGTTGTTCACCAAGTCTAAGCAACCGTAGCTGCCAGTCCATAGGTTGGACATTTTTTGCTGCATGTCCACCAAACGGAGGTGGCTGTAAAAAATACTGTTGTTGCGGTACAAACGGTAAGTTTGGTAACGCCTAGTCGCTATGAAAGCCGGACTGACGGGAGGTGCCGCCTGACTGACCCTCATGATACGACTGAGTATGCCTCATCGAGGTATTTCGCAGACTGTCTTGGAAGTTTGAAGTAGAGGCCGACTCTGACAATCGGTCACTCTTCTTCTGCTCTAGCAGTAGCCGAGCGTCTGTGTATGTTTTCCTCGACCCGTCCGCCTGAATATGACGAACAGGTTTCCTATTTCCTGGAGTAGGAAAACGGTATTTTGTGAAATCAAGGGCAGGTGGCTCCCACTTCCTAGATTTAGGATGAGGGGTCGCCTCTCGCCCTTGAACTGGCTTCCTCTTCCGTGAAGTGGAGGGTTTCTTAGCCGACTGCTCCTTGTCCAGAGCAGGCGGCTTCTTGTTGATCAACTCTTGAATTTCTCCCTTGAAGTCCCTCATGAAGGTCATGAGTTCGTTCCTTGTGATGGGAGCAGACCCATCAGTCGGCTGCTGCCGAACAGGCGGTGCGCCTGCTGGCTCGCTTCCAGTTTGAAGATGTTCCCGTTCCCTCCTTTCGGTATGACGGGTACGTCGGGCCCTTAGGGTCCCGTCTGAAGCTGTGTGGGCTACAACTTCAAATTCATTCTCAGTATTGTGGTCCGACTGAACTAGAGGATCGTCCAGGGGACGTCTCTCTTCAGGAGCCGGTACAAACGTGGGTGCCATCTCAGAAGTACTCTCCCCACAGACGGCGCCAAAATGTTTCGGGGTTTTCTGATGTCCTGCGGGAGAGTTACAATTCCGAGACTGGAACCGGACGCCTGTACCTGCAAAACAAACGGATGCTCCGGATGATTGGAGATCCGCCTCCGACGGTCAAGTTAGTACTTGATTAAGGAGTAATTAATGCGGAAATTAAAGTGATTGGGTCTCTCTAGGTGAGAGTGTTTAATGTGTGTAATCTGCGTAATCTCCCTTAATGAGGATTAAGGGAGGTATTTATAACCTCGGGAAACGTGCCAATCTAGGTTTAGGTTAACCTTGGGCTGATTGGGCTTCCCTCGGAAGTTGGGCCTAGGTGACCGGCTTCTCCATTAGGCATGGAGTATGCCACGTGTCATGACATAATAAGTCCAGGGTGGACGAATAAGCGTGTGCCACGTGGCAAGCCCTGAGAGGTCCAACTGGGGGACACTTGGCATGATTGGCCCACGTGGCGCATTCCGATTGGTGGGAGCAAAATCCCCTAATCAACTAGTATTATAAAAGTCCAACAATGCCACCCCAATCCACTCTCAACCACCCCTAACAAGAAAAGAAATTAATAAAGGCCATTAAGGAAAATGAAACATTAGTAGAAGCTAATGTCATTGCAAAAAAGATATCAACGAGTCAATCAAAAGCCCTTTGCTTCCATGTTTTCCAATATGCTATATAATTCAAAAGAAAAAAAATTCCATGGTTTGCAATTGAAACCAAAGAAAAAGGAAACCTTGGGTTCTATAAAGTGAACAATTATTGTCAAAGAATTGCAAAATGCTTGACCAAAGGAAACAAAACAACTGTAAAATGACAAAATGGTACAAATTCACTAACTCAATAAGAAAAAGACTCAACCCCAGAAAGAAAAAAGCTGGTACACTTTCCATTATATCACTTTTATCTTCATAAATACCCTACTTTCCCCCCCCCCCAACAAATCCATCTTAAATTCAACATTTACACCACATTAGCCTTCATTCGGGAGTGTTCACATAGAACAAAAAACAGCAATATTGACACACATCCGGGTATACTACGCAACCAGAAATCAGGTATCATGACACAAGATAAGACATTAATCTATACTCTTCCAGACCTTATAAAAAACTAATTAAAACCACTGAGAAGCAAATATTTCAAAATTGAAATTGTGACAATAGTACTTATAAAGTTTAGGTAAAAGATGAAAAACCAAACCAGAAATTGTTGGGCATCAGGCCAAGATTGCTTAGAAAAGCGTTTAACAGCAATGAAACGATTAGTTTCAAGTCTTCCTTTATACACAACATTAGGTGCTTTTTCTCCACTTTCAGAAACTATACATTCTGTGCTAAACCCATTTGTTGCTTTCCTAAGCTCACTCAAGTTGTACTCTCTAAATGCTGCTACTTTTTGCTGCTGATTATCCCCATCTCCTACTTCTCCAACTGCTGCATTACACATTTATATTACCCCATAATAGCAAAAATCAGTATAAAAAACAGCAAATTCATCAAAATTAAAGCAATTCCCAGAAATAACAATCACAAAATATTAAAAGGATTTCATAGATTATATACAAATGGTTGAATAATAACCAAGTCGGACTAAAATAAATAAAAAAAAATACTCTGTAATTAACAATTTGAAATCAACTAAATTGAACAAACGCAGAAAATTTAAAGCAACACCCAGAAAATCAATGGAGAAATCGAAGTGGGAAAATCAAAGAAAAGAAGAAAAAACCTGAGATTTGCTTGTCGGATTCAGGGAGAGGAGTTGCGTCGTTTGGAGAAGTAAGGTGTGTCGTTTTGGACTGTATGCAGCCCATAACTTCTTTTCACATTATCAAATAAAAATAAAAATATGCAAATAATCGATTAATTAGATCGAAATTCAACTGAAAATTGAAGGATTGTTTCAAATTTCAAGTAATTTTCAAGTACAGAAGAAAGAAGATAAATAGAAGAATTTGCAGAGAGAAAAGACAGTAAGTGGGTGAGGAAAGAAGTGGTAAATTTGTGACAAGTGAGAGTAAAATAGGAGAGAGAAAAAAATGAGTAGTAGGGAAGAAAGTCACATGATAAGAGCATGATGGAGCACGTGCTAGGGGAATGAGGAGATTGGGGAGGGAAACTGAACTTAGCAGAGTGAATGAAACCAAGCATTTAAAGTTGTGGACGTTGTGGGAATTTCTTTGGAAAAACAATGAGACAAGAGAGAGGGTGGTTGGTAAGGGGTGGAAGTAATTCGGTTTAAAACCAATTAAACTAAATTAATAATTTAGTTTTTTTTTTTTTCTATTCGGTTTGGTTTGGCATGTACAAAATTAAATAAATAGGAAAAATTAACGTGAATAAATCTAATTTTAAGCGACCTCCTCAAATTAGTCTAACCTTTTAAATTACTTAAATTAATCCCATCTTTTTACTTAATCTTCTCAAAAGGGACCCTCTTCTAAAATGACGAGGTACAACAGATTATATGACCTACGTGCCATTTTTAAAAGGTAAATTATAAATCTTCCTCCGCATATGACTTAATTTCCGACGTGAAGTATTGAATTGCCTAACTATCTATTCCCCACATCAACTCGCCACTCACTTAATTCGAGCACCCACCATGAAAAGGACGTTATTACTTAGCTGTTGTTGTTGCCATTGTTGTGTTGCATTCCCTCTCTTAGATGACATCCGTTGGGTTTTAGCGTCTTAGGTGAAGCTACAGAAAAGGTAAGCTATTCAAACTTCTAATTTTTGTTTTCACTTTTTTTATTAAAATTGATGAAAGTATTTTTGAGGATAATAATCCTACCTGTGTTGATGATTATATTCAGGGTCATCTCCGGCTATTTGGAGGCCCTATGTTAAATACATTTAGATGGAAGCCCGTGCGATGCACGGTTTTTTCATCTATCTTTAATTATTTGTTTTATTGTATTTAATAATTTCAGACAAGAAAAGTTTAATATTTTTTTTCTTACTATAATTTATAATGAATTTATCAAATATAAATAAATTGTAAATATGATATTTTTTCCATTATATAAAATCTTTTAATGTGAAATGATAAATTTTTAATAATTTAAATCCTAAATCATTTTTCATTATTTTACTATATCTTTTATTTCGATAGAATCAACAACCTCGTCCACAACCAACCCTCCTACATCAATGGATATGTAAATTAAATCTTTACATTTATATAAAATAAATCAATATATTTACCAATAAATGAAAATTTGTTGGGGTATAAAATCAAATCTATGCATTGGAATTTTTTCATCATCACTAAAAATAACCAAAGCCACTCATATATTAAGTATACTGCATTTAATCGTATGCCATTACATAAACAAATAATTGTTAAGTATCCTAAATAAATACAATGTAACTAATAAGATTTTAAAAATTACCCGGACGTTAATGACCTAAAACTAACACAAAATTCACTTGATGGGGTGTTGTATTGGGATACGAAATTTTATTTGTGTCGTATGATGTGTTAGATCTGCATGTAAAAAAACATTTAGTAAATAAAACATTAACATATAATCGTTGAGTATCCCAAATTAATACAATGTAAGTAATAATTAGAAATACTAATTTAAACATAGGATTTTAAAAATTAAGCTAAAAATTACCCGACCATTGATGACCAAAAATTAACACAAAATTACTAACACAAAATTCGCTTGATGGGGTTTTTTATTGATACAAAATTTTGTTTGTGTCGTATGATGTGTCAATTTATAATGGTAGATATCACAAATTTTAATTTAATTATAGATAACGAACAATTTGTATTTCTTATCATAAATACTATCAAAATTTATCTTATATGATAGATTTCAAACGTTATTATAAGCGTTTATCATTTAAATATTTTTAGTATATTATTTTTGGATTTCTTATACTCGTAGTGCTAAATTAATAAATTTATCTTTTCCTATATTTTTACTTTATTTTTTTCATTAAAATAATTTAATTCGTGGATTATAATCTACGTGGCATTAAAATTTTAGATATATCAAATCTAAATCGTTACTTTTATCTAGGTGGCGATGCACGGGTTTTTTTTTTCATACATAAATCTCAAGAAATGATATTTTCCTATAGACTCTAAGTTTATATATATAATTATTTGATTTATTTTACTATTTAATAATTTTAGAAAAAAATAACACATAATAATTTAATTAAAGTGTTATTGCCTATTACAAAAGTATAATTTTTTTTTCAATGTAATTTATTATGCGACTTTATTGTTGTTTTGTATTTTATTCGTTGTTGTTAGTTATATGACAACTGAATTTAATAATATGAATAAATTGTAAATATGATATCTAAAAAAAAAAAAAAAATTGTAAATATGATATTTTATCGATTATATATTAGGTTAAAATCTTTAATATGAAAATATAATTTATTTATTTTCATTTTTTGAATAATTTAAATCCTAAATCATTATTAGTTTTTTTTATAAAAGAATAGAAATAATAAAAAATAATAAAAACATGTATACTATTTATCTTCTATTTCAATAGAATCACCTACTTCGTTCACACCCATATCTCTTCCATCTAATAAAAGTGGATAAATAAAACATGTTAGCAAAAAAATAATATAAAATTAACCGTTATAGTCTTATAAAATAAATCAATATATTTACCAGGAAGTGAAAAATTGTTGTGAAATTGATCTAAAAATTGTAATTGTACAAAATCAAATCTATGCATTGGAATTTTTTCATCGTCCCTAATCGGCGAACAATAGTATTTGGAAAATTGAATCATTATTTTGTTGTCACTGGCAATGCGTGCAATATTGCTTCTTATTTGTAACGAATGAAAAGTATTTAATTGAGTAAGCTTTGCTTTCAATTAATTTTGGACGAATTGTACGATGTTGGCTTTAATTGAGGTATGAACGTAATCAAAATTAAGTTAATTTGATGACTTGATTAAGCTACCTAAATCACAAAAATTTTGTTCTAATCATAAAATTAATTAAAATATGAACTTCAAAGGTTTATAAAAAATTTTAATAAATGTAAACAATTTATAAAGATATAATACCTTCTCATCCAATAGGACCATCAGGCGAGAAACTCGTACTTTGATTTTTCAATCATTTTTGCTCGAATCTAATTCTCTAATTAAATCAGATCTGCGTGTAAAAACAAAATTTAGTAAACAAAACATAAACATATAATCGTTAAAAATTCCAATTAAACACAATGTAAGCAATAATCACAAATATACATTTAAACATGGATTTTAAAAATTAAGCTAAGAATTACTTAGCTATTGATGACTAAAACTAACACAAAATTCGCTTGATTTGGTTTTGTATTGATACGAAATTTTGTTGGTGTTGTAGGATGCGTCAATTTATAATGGTATGCATCACAAATTTTAATTTATTTATTATTAAGGAATAATTTTTATTTCTTATCATAAACACTATCAAGATTTATCTTAGATATATAAATCCTATATCTACAGATGATTTTTTAAAAATAATTTTTAGTTTTTTAAATAAATTAAATCCTAATAATCACTATTCGTTGTTTTAACTATGTGGCAAAATTCTTAAATCTTATTCGTCAATTTTTCTTAGGTGGTGAGTGAATTTATTAATCCTAAAATAAAATATAAATCTAATTTTTAATTGGTCGAAATAATACCTTTGCTTATGTGGCGCGCCGAATGCTCTCGAAAAATGCCTACTTTATTTATATATATTAGATTATCGGGGCCCCTATAAAATTTTAAATGACATTTAAATGTAAAACGAATTTTTCTTACATTATGAATTTGTAAGACAATAGATATAATCATGACTATTATTAAAATGGAAAAATTGAAGAGGTTGAGTGCCTTTAATAAAATTAAAATTATACATTAGAATTGAATTGGGAAACTTGTAGGCATAGAAATATCTAAATGCTGATATAAATTTAAGAAAATATGACCATTGAACACCTTTATTTTAGGTGGATAGTTTGAGAAAGATGATTCTAATTCTTTGATTGACTAATGAATGAAATCTTTACTATTATCGAAAAAATAGAGGAAATAATCCAGTTAATAGTCAATTTGAGTATTAGATGAGTAAATGGAGAGAATGAATTATTTTGTTCTATGGAAATCGAATCATGAGAAATTGGAAAGAGAATTTGAAGAGTTAGAAATTTAGAATTGGTTTAATAGGGAAAAAAATCTTTCACGAGGAATCAGTGATATATAATGAGGAATAGACCTGGCAAATTGGTCATTTAGGTTGGATCAATTTTGGTTGGGGTCATTTCGATTTAGGTAATTTTGGGTCAGTTAACATTTGGGTCGGGTATAGATAGGGTCTGGTCATTTTGGGTTTCGAGTACGATTTGGGTCTAGTATCGGGTGGAGTTCGGATTGGGTCATTTCAGGTCAGACCATTTTCGGGTCAAGTATGTTCGGGTCATATTCGGGTTGGGTCAATATCAGGTCAGGTCATGTTCGGGTTGTTCCATATGTGGATCAAGCTCAAATCAATAATTTTATATTTTGTTATTGTTATAATCAGAACTATCAATTCAAGTTATGAGCTTGGCTACGGTTGAAGATGAACAATTTGAGTTATTTTTGGGACCAGACATTTTTAGTTCAATTATAAAGTAATTTTAATTCGGGATAATTCGGATATCAGATCTATTCGGGTATTGGGTTTGTTCGGGCCAACACTTCGGGTCAATTTTAGGTCGGGTTAACTTCGGATCGGGTCAGTTCGGGTGTTGAGTCAGGATCGGATCAACTCAATTTTCGGGTCAGGTATGGGTTGGGTAGGGCAATTTCGAGTTTCGGGTCATTTCCAAGTTAATGTTTTAGGGTCAATTTTAGATCAATTTTGAGTCATCGGGTCTGGATCAGAATTGACAAGTCTAGTGGGGAAGAAGAAAGAGAATTTATATTTTTGGTTAACCACTTAGCCAATTAACTTTTTTTTTAGCCTTAAATTTTTTTGGGCCCTATTGACCACCTCAATGACTGGCCTGATTATATCAAAACTAATATAAATTTTGTGATTGGAAATCGTAGCTACTTAAAAATTGAATCTTTCATGTTGTTGTCTGACAATATTGTTTGCGTGTTGTAGCTGTAATTTTTAATCGTTGTTGTAATTCTTGCAATACTTGTTATCGAGTTCGATTTCAGAGAATTAGAAAACTTACGGGCCAATACGGGTAACCGTAAAACTTCTTCCCAATACCTTGCCCAACCTTTACAAAACGGTAAATTGCTTCCTTGTTATTGAAAGGAATGATGTCCTTCGAACA